TGAAATGTTAGTGATGGACACCTGCGGCACTAGCAAATCAGCATTCAACATATCACTCTCCTCACACAGCACATGTCTGTTCTGAGTGTACTACCCAGCATGCTTTGTGCAAAGAAGGGGAATAAGGACTCCTCTGTCCACACAGGAAACAAGCATATGAAACATGCCAGCAGAGACCACACTAGCCATTCAGAGAGTTGTACTGAATGATGCTGCAGAGATGAAAGTGAACATCAAAACACCAACACACCAACACAAAATAAAACAGAGCGGCAAATCTCTATATTATATCTGTATGATTAGCAGATTCATATTTATCTCCAGACACTGGCAAAATAAACAGCAGCATATCCACAGGTGAAAAGTGAGGCAGCTAAATTAATGCTAATTCTATGAGTACTAATTTTACTATACCACTGTTCTATTTTCTTGCTGAATTTACTGCCGTTGTTGAAACTAAATCTTTTCATTTGGAAGACTTCTGTTTTTATCCCCATTAAAAAGATGGAAACTGCATACTTGTACACCACTTAATTTGTAATGTCAATTTGGGGCTAATTCGCTAATGGGAGGCTAATTCGCCATGGGTTTCCCTCATGGCTTTAATCTCTGTGGTTAATAATGCTTGAAGACAGTTTTACAACACTAATTTCACTCAAAACACATACCTTAACCATGAAATTTGAAAACACTGTGTGTTTTAAAACGTTAAGATTTTGCTATTGTACATGTATGATTCGTCAAAAACACCAGCTCAAAATATTTATTTAGCAACTGGTTAGCAAATTTTTAAACAACACATATTACTGTGTGTAATTCATGTTGTACAGACCATATTTTACTCAAATACATAATAATAATACTAATAAAAGCTTTTCTAAAACCATGTTAAAAATACCAGTGGGAACCCACTAGCTCAAATTTGCAACCCAGGCTCACTGGAAAAACGTTTTTGCTAAATGATATTGCGATGGTTCATTTTGTGACACTTTTAAAGTTAAATGTCCAGTGATTATCACTAAAACTCTGCTAAATTTGACCTGAAATAGATTTTATTACATTGGTTGTGGCAGATCTAAAATGAAATGTCTGGTGAGTGGAGCTAAAAGGTTAAAGCGCTATCCTTTTTGAAAATAATGTACCACCTACACTAAACTCTACCGATAGCGGTAACAACAGAAAACTTGAGACAAAAACGAGTTCATACAGAGATGTTTAGTACAGTTTTGTACTGAAAAATAAAAAAGAGCAGCCAAATATTGTTATCAAGACGACTGTCAGATTAAATTAACGGACTAGAAGGGAATTTGTCTAAACATGACAGTCGCAAGTACTCCAAGTGCATTTCTGTACACTTTTTTATTAATTGTAATGCAGGCAGGTGAACTGCAGCAACAGATCTTATACCTCTCATCTCTTATCACCAACACACATCTAAAGTGGATTTACACAAATAACGCTTGTGCTTCAGTTCCCTTTAACATGCTTTTTCTCATAGTTCACAGCATGCGTGTCTGTATAAACAGTAGCACAGAAGGCGGGGGCCACTTTCTCTTGAAAGTGCATGTTCAAGGAACCACTTGTCTTCTCTACTGCACTTCATTTTACCAAGTCCACCATCCAACTTTTTTAAGTTCAGAGGCACGTCTATTATTCTTATTCCACGCAGAATATCTTTTTTTTCCTTAACAGAGGTGCACAACAAGCTTAGAGAAACTTTTTTATTTGAAGGTGAACAAGAACAGTAGTGAAGCTTTGTCACTGTAACTCAGTAACTCGATTGATATTCACAGTACGAGATTGTGGTGTTCTGGATGACGCAAGAGAATTTGACGCTCGCAGATTTGATTATATTAAAAAGTGTTTTGAGGACACATTGTCACAACACACCATTTCATTCCCTTTCTTTATCCCTTTCTCTCCTCTTTATATCTCTCTGGTAAACTCTCACACACACACTACTATCGGTATTTAGGGCAGCCAACATCCTCTAGTAGGAAGCAATCCTCTGTGTGTGTCTGTGTGTGTGTGTGTGTGTGAGACATATAAGGCATATTTCTGGGGCACTCCACCCTGTTCCCACTGGGACATTCGCACACACACCAGTACTCGCACAGAACATGGGTGGTTGGCATTCAAGAGTGAAAAATCTTGCAAATGAGATATGAAACTCAAATAGAAAGCATGTCACATCAACCATCCACATACACACTTTATATTAGGCACTTACTTCAAACTGCCTGCAAATCTCTGCCTGAGATGATGTCAAGTCAAATTCACAATATTTAATTCATTTTCATCAGTGCATTCTCAGTTATTCATACATACACATTACATACACTCTAATTCAAAAGTTTGGGATCAGTAAGATTTTTTTAATGGTTTTGAATGCAGTCTCTTATGCTTTCTAAGGCTGCACTCATTTGATCAAAATGCAGTAAACACAGTAATATTGTGGAAATATTATTGCAATTTCAAAATAACTGTGTTCTATTTTAATACATTTCAAAATGTAATTTATTCCTGTGATGCAAAGCTGAATTTTCAGCAGCCATTAATCCAGTTTTCAGTGTCACATGATCGTTCAGAAATCAGTCTAATCTGCTGATTTGGTGCTCAAGAAACATTTCTTATTATTAATTATCAATGTTGAAAACAGTTATTCTGCTTAATATTTTTGTGGAAACAGATACATTTTTATCAGGATTCTTTGGTGAACAACACGATCAAAAGAACTGCATCCTCGCTGAATAAAAGTGTTAATTGTTTTTAAAACAAACAAACAAAAAAATCTTACTGACCCCAAACGATAGTGTACACAGCAATATGATACATCTTGTACACATGAACATTACCACTATTAATCTTACAGGAAATGATGTCATCTGCATAGATCCTTTAGATAAAGGCCTTGTCTGCATAGTGCATATGCATGTGATGTCAGCACAATTCTGACTTGCAAAGGATTTACGTTTTCCAAGAACAATCGCAATAAGGTATAAATTCCGCTGACATTTACACAAAGATTAGGCCTCAAAAATCTCAGAGAGAATCAAAGCAAACATTAAAACAACACAGCATTATTCCAGACCACTGATGCTTTTAAAACAAAATAACTGATTGCCACCCAAGATCATTACATACAAAGCCAAGTCTGTCAGCAAATGAACAACAACTGACGATGATAAATGTAGCCATCTTGACGTATTTCACAGTGGTGAGTTTATCACCGTACCGATAAGAGAAAAGAACTGATGGTCAGCATATTTCCCCTGACCAGACTCATCCATTCATCACGCAGGTTATTTACTACTGCGGCTGGCCCATGCCCCACATACTGAGAGGTTGCAAGAGCCGAAACAGATTGTAGCCTCTGTGCTTTGATTAACAGCGCTAGCCTTGGAGGGAGAGAGTTACGAGAATATATGGCAGTTGGCACACACTACATAACCTACTTCTACAACAGTCTGTGAATCTAAAAAACTTCAAAGGAAATAGCCTGGGTCACACTTCACATTACAGGGTAATCTAGTGAGTAAGTTCTGAGTAATACTATTGAACGACATGATGAAACCAAAATTTCTTTTCTGACTCACAACTATAGGTGTCACAAAGTTGTTTTGGCCCTCTTGATCCTTTTACAACAGGGTTCTATTTTGTTAACAATACATTAGTTAACATATACCAACAATGAAAAATCTTTCTAAAGCATTTATTAATCTTAGTTAATGTTAATTTCAACATTTACTAATACATTATAGAAATTAAAAGCTGTATATTTTAATATTATTTAAAGGAGCTGAGATAGCATGAACTAACATTACCAACAAAAACTAAAATAAATGTATTGCTCATTGTTAATTAATGCATTAACTAATAGGACCTCATTAAAACTATCAAACTATTTACATTAGTTTCAGGGCTGGTTGGGATATGTAGTACAAAATAAGAATTAATTTTAATTAGCTTTTAGATCTTAACATCTTAAATACATGTCTTCACATGACACAAACCCCACACTATTCATATTAGGGGCAAACAGTATTGTTTTTCACAGGCTGATTTAGGGACCAAATGTAATATTTTACAAATCAGCCAGTCCTGAATATCTGGATGAGACATTAAAAACAGGAAAAAGCAAAAATAAGTAAATAAATTAAATAAACAAATAAAAAATCTATCCGTCTACCTACATAAAAACAAAAAATACTATAAAATACTGGCAACAGTGACAACTTTAGTTAGCCTAATGTTAAAATATTTTTAATTGACTTAATTACTCATGAAAAAATTGATCATCAATCTTTTCTGTTTGTTGTTTCACAACCAAACTGTGTTTTAAAAAGTTTTAACTCCACAACATGTGCCAAGCATAAGTTAAAAATATAACTTTAATCCTGAATAAAAATTTATATGTAGGCTAATCCCTATGTAATTATAATATGTAATTCTTTTGCGATTTATTACATTAACATCCACGTAACATGAACTCTGCACGAACTAAGCGTTAATTTAGCAAATAAATGAGGCATCTGTTATCTAACTACAAGTACATTTTCTATATGGAATGAGGCTGGATGATGAGGGTCATTGTAGACACCGGTATCCTGGAAGCAGGTGCACTAGTGGGACAGGTGTGTTGCATCTCTGACGACACTTTCAGCGTCCCGCTGGGAAACACTTACAATGATCCAGCTCTTATGTTTCAGCTTATTATAGAGCTTAAACCGGATTGAGTTGCTGTATAAATTCATAACCTGCACAACAAGTTTGTCCGTTATATGATTGAAATCAATGACAGCGATTCCGCTCCTTCTCGAACACGTTACGGGCTTTTGTTCCGAAACTGCGCTCTTTTCTCTCGGACAAAATGATTAAGCGTCTAAAAAATGCTCATTAAACATTGAACATATAGAATATTAACAATAGACGGCAACCTTTTTGCAAGCATCACAACAGAGTAGCAAACCTATAGGGAATTGCAAATGATAAACGCTTACCGTGCATATCGCGAAAGAGAACGACACAGTGTTATTGTGATTTCATAAAAACAGAGCCAGCGTAACCGAAAATATCCTCGGATAACGGGAGACGTGTTGTTTTGGTATCCAGGTGAAGGACCGGCTGTACCTGCTCACTGCAGAATAGACCGCGCGCGGACTGCGGCGTCGTTTCACTAGTATCCACAAGTGATAGCGCTGACGTCACTGACAACAGCAGGATGGGCGGAGCTTCGCGCGCACAGACGTGCACGAGATTTAGGACAAAATACCATGTCACCAAAATAATGTGACAAATTCACGCTGTGTGTGGATTATACATGTCGAGCACAGGGTCTGAACTGAAATAGCACGTCTGGACATTAGAAGTCACTGATATGAAAATCTGTGCACACCTTTGTTTAAGTGGAGTTTAGCGAGATGTTCACTGAACAGCTACTGTATGACGTTGCGAATTTTGTATTAAAGCACTGCACTGAAAAACAAACTAAACCAGCCTAAATTCGTCTGCTGCTGTCCCAGCCTGAGTTTAGTTAGGTTAGCTTTGGGTTGAAAAGTGCCCAGAACCACTCTAAAGCCATCTTATCATACTGGTTTAAGTTGTTTTACTCAGCTATTAAACTATGAATATTAAACGTATATTAACTACTAGACTATTAAAGAGGAAATAAATATTCATTTACTCTATACCATATAGTAAATGAATATGCGTGTTACTCTTTAATAGTCGTTTAACCTATACATATAAATAACTGGGTCATATTAACAGCTGTGCTTATATAATCTAAGTCTCAGTTTCTCAGTTAATATTATTCCATGAATTCCATTCCATGTAGAAAACAGCCCAAAACTGCCTCCTCCTTTTCATTTACATTATTGAAAAGCTTAAATGTTTCACCAAGGCTCCATTCATTTGATTAAAAAAAAAGACAAGAAAATAAATGGTAAAAACTTTAATTTTAAGAAATATTATAAAAGTTTCCTATTTTAATATATGTAATGTAATAAGTGTACTGCATTAAGCTAACTGAGACTTGTCATAGCACATGCATATCATTGCTCTTTTGTTGATTTTGATTGCTTCCATTGTCCTCATTTGTAAGTTGCTTTGGATAAAAGCGTCTGCTAAATTACTAAATGTAAATGTAATGATTTTTTGTGATTCTTTGATGAATAGAAAAGCTACAAATAAAAAAAAAAACAGCATTTATTTGAAGTCTCTTAATCTCTTTAAAAAAAATCTTAGTAATCCCAAACTTTGAATAGTAGTGTAATTTATTTTCAGACTGTAAAAAACTGCAAAATTAGACTACATGAAATAACTTCTAATCAATTTCATTACTTTTGAATACAGAATTAAAGTATAATTATTTAGGATATTTTATTTGCTATTCAGATATCAATTAAAATTTTTTGGAGTGTTCTCTGCTGCCCTCTATTGCTAACAGTGACTAATTGCAAGGCAGCAGTATCACTGCTTACACAACTGCATTTGCAGACACGAATGGCACAAATATAAGATGATAAACAACAGCAAAGAAATTATTGATATTATTTTAATTTAGGATGGTTATTTGTAGATAAGGATCAGCGGTTGAGCTGGTGAGAAGCATGTAAAATACACACACATGAAAAGTTCCGATGTATCATATGTAGTCATCTGAATGTATCTCCAGAATCCATTTTGAGGCAAACACCAGAACCACATCAGCATGTCTCACCAAAGTCAGATCTTTTCAGCATCTTTAAAGGTGTCACCTCAGCCTCATGTCCCTTCAAAGGGATTGTCTCTGTCCAGGCTGGAAGTGGTTTCTATGGACTGTTCACGTTCTGAGATTTTCCCTGTACCTCCTTGAAGATCTGCTCCTCTAGACTGAATGTGTCATACTCCTTCAGCATATCGTATGGCCTCCACGGTTCTGCCCACTTTTGAGCATGCTCCATCATCTCCAGGGTCAAACATAGGTCAAAGCGGATACCCTTAATGTTAAACTTGGGGCGCTCCCAACGTTTAGACCATGGCTTTGGCTTCATTTTTACTTTTAACTACAAGAGAAAGAGAGAAACCGACAGGAAACTTTTTAAATGTAGTGGCTGAACACCACAGGTGTACAATTTACCATTACAGAATGTTACAGATGAGAAATCTTTAACTAGAATGCCTTACCGGACTGACCGGAACGTCTCCTGTTATCTCATAATGGACAGGTTGCATGTCAAAGTTGAAGGAGCTGTACTCAGGAAGAGCATCTCTCAAGTACATGAGATTGTCGTCCAGTCTCTTCTCCAGCTTCAACACTTCAATCTTACGCATACGTGGATTGTACAATTCATAGCATATCTCCACTCCTACAGTGAACGAAAAATTACTATGCATTTGATAACAAAATGGCAACAAAACTCAAAAAGCATTAGATTCCATGCATAGTGGATACTATGATTAAAGTGAAACCAGTACAAATCAGAACAGTAGGGTTGCAACTGAGGATTATGTTGATAATCAATTAATCTGTCAATTATGTCTTTTAATAATTGTATTATAAATAATTTTTTTTGTAGTTGTTGCAGCACTACCGAACAGATAATGCAACAAAACAAAAAAAAAAAAGTAAAATTAAATGTTACAAGTTGTTTTTTTTTTTTACCTTGGCCATCAACAACATTCCTAAGTATAAAAGTAGCACCCAATCCTTTTCCAGAGCGCTGAATGCAGATTCCAACAAAGCGATTCAAGTTCCCGTTCACATGAGGATCAGTCATGGCCACTGCTAAAATACTGCCTACATGAAACAATAAAGAGAATATTTAAGGAGGAACAGAAAGGGACATTTTTCAATCACAAATCACCATAAAACCGAGGAGTCTTGCAGTGTGTTACAATCATCAGTATTTCTTACCAACGTAAAACTCTGGAATGTTGAGAACTTTCCGTCTCTGTATCATGTCTTTCCGTTCTACTGAAAATTTCACAGGGTTTGTGCGCTGACGAGGAGGGATGAACTCTGGACTCAAAAACCTAATCAGACATTTATTTTGCAAAACAACTGAATTATGAAACATGTTACTAATAAAAGAAAATACTGCCTACATGAAACAATAAAGAGAATATTTAAGGAGGAACAGAAAGGGACATTTTTCAATCACAAATCACCATAAAACCGAGGAGTCTTGCAGTGTGTTACAATCATCAGTATTTCTTACCAACGGAAAACTCTGGAATGTTGAGAACTTTCCGTCTCTGTATCATGTCTTTCCGTTCTACTGAAAATTTCACGGGGTTTGTGCACTGACGAGGAGGGATGAACTCTGGACTCAAAAACCTAATCAGACATTTATTTTGCAAAACAGCTGAATTATGAAACATGTTACTAATAAAAGTTTTATGATAGAAATATTAAACAAATGACAGTAACATCCAGTGATGCAACCTTTGTCAAATTTTGTCAAAAATTTGAACATTCAGGCTACCTTTTAAATGGTTCATGTCATTTTCTACATATTAGGCATACAATTAAAAGTGAATGTTTGCATATTTAAAAATAAAAATATTATTTGCAAATAGCTCAAAATGACTAAAGTAAATTCTAGTTTTTCAACTATTTCTTTCATTATTCATTTAACAGTTACATTCTTGCTAAAATTATTATTAACAATAATTCACATTTCCACAAATGTTGCAAACTACATGTCATTTATACATGTTATATGCTGATTGAGCGACAGGTTCCAATAAACCTTTTCTAATGAACCTGTTATACCTCAAGAAGCTGGCAGGTGTAAACTAAAGCACAATCATATGCATTTACTCAACAACAACACACATACCGTCGCAGAGATGCTTCTTTCTGTGTTTTGTCTATGATAACTGGTTTGGTTGGAGGAGTGAATTTTGGAGGTCCATCTGACGCTGCAGCGTGCCTCAGTATAGACGTCGACAGAAGTCCTAGGAATAAGATAAATACTGTGTATGTGTACAAATCATGTTAGGTATCAGTAATAGTTAACTTATTAATTACAACGGGCTGTAAACTCTGTAAACGCAGTTATTCACTTGAGCAGATGATTGTTTTAATGATCGTCTCAATAGTGGTCTTTTCTGTTATTACCAACTAATATGGACTTGGTAATGGGGACTATAAAGCACAGTAACATACGTTCGTTCTGAGGGAAATGTCTTAAAATTCGTAGCAAGCCCATCATTTCTCTCACCCTACTTGTGCACGCCGCCATGTTTGACAGAGGAGTGTGTACAAGAAACATTCTGATTGGCTGTCTAACCTCAAGAACGATGACTGTGACTGGCTGGATGACGTGAAAACTAAAACGTTTAACATAAAAATTATTTTTATGTTAAATCTTTGGCGTTCTAAACATGAGTAAAATTAATATAGCAAATTTGAAAATTCATTGTGTGACTATGAATAATATAATTAAAAAGTCCATATTAGACCGTCCCAAAACAAACAAATTTGGCTGTTATAAATTATTCTCAAAGGTTAATATAGTGTATACGAAAAGGACAAAGGTGTCAGTGACGTGCTAGTGCCCAACTACCCACCCTCATATATCCCCGAACTTTCATTTGAAGTGGTCTAAATTAATCTTTCATATGATTGGCCCTCAATTATCAGTATCAGTGTTGCCAGACGTACGATAATTATCGTATTTGTACGATAATTTTACCTCTGTACGATGTACGATCAATAATGAAAAAAAAATCCCATAATGTACGATAATTTCATAATTTTATGTCAATTCAAATAATGGTAGTTGTAGTCATAGGGCTTCTATATTCATACACGAAATCGGCTCATTACAAACACTCTAACACTGGCAACACACAGGCTTCCGATGACAGCGGCTCAGATGTGGAGTTAACAGCTAAAGTCTGTCTACGCTGGACGCGAACGAGGCATCAGTTTACTGTCGGGGATGTGTCGTGTCGTGTCGCATCCAGCACAAACAGTCACTGATTATAATGGTTTCTATATAGTATTTTGTCGCATTGCTCGCGTCCAATGTAAACACGGTACGCCTAATTTGCAGGTCATGTCAAAAAGTTGTTGGTTTAGATAAATAGCTGTATTCTGTACGTTTGACTCGTGTACGATAATTTTCTTCCAAATACGATAATTTTGAGCTTCTGGTACGATACT